TATCCTGGGAAAGGCTTCCCAATTGCAATATACACCTGATGTTTATGTATTCATGATATGTTTTGGGAATTCACATGTTTGAAAGGAGCATTTGGATGTAACTCTTGATCACATTTATTTTTGTAGTCACATTCACTAAGAATAACAGAGTTATGGATGCAAGTGCTTTTATGTAGTTAAACCACTAGATGTAAGTTACAGAGTGGAATCAAGCATTTATAGCACATACGGGTTTCACAGACTGCTGCATGAGATTCATCAATACAGCACTATACTTTATCACCCAAATACAATTGGCAACGCTGTAGCGGTACGATGCTGACACTCACTTTTTATTTGTAGAGTTTGTTAGTTGGTTTACAAAACTAAGACCAACATAATTAGTACTATATTATACACGTGTTTAAAAAGGATCACAACACATTTGTTTTTTTGCTTTTTAAATCCATTTATATAGCGTCATAGATCATTTGGAATTAAAGGAGATTAGTTGTTGATACAACATTAATCCCTTGTGAGATTGCTACACGGGACCTAGCGCAACATAACAGCAACATTTCATTCACTACCACACATTGTTGCAGCTGGTTCACTTTCACTGAGTGATTACTCCTAGTGCAGCGGCTTGTTGTTTTTCATTTTGAACATTTGGTATGACCTCCTCCATATCTATATACATAGAAGACTTTCCATCCAACATCAATTTACTAAACAGCTCACGTGCGTGAGCCTAAAGAAGGAAGAAATGGAAAAGAGGAAGAAGAAAAGAAAAAAAAATACTAAAAGAAGCAGAACAGCTTAAGAGTCCGAAAAGAGTAGCTCCGTCCCCGACCAGATAGCCCAACATCTACTTAAACATTGAAAATAGAACCAAAAAAAAACCCAGAAAAATTGTACAATGGAAGTTACCCAGTTTCCAGCACCCCTGTATATAACATCCAGGGGGTCCAGGTCAATTCAAAGCATTTTTGAGTATCTTGGAGGAGTTGTGAAGTTTCTCATGGATGATAAACCACAACATTTTTTGTTTGACCAAGTGGAATGGAATTGTTGGCAATTTCCGAGCCCTAGCTATGGTTATTTTAGCTGCCAACAGAAAGAAAGTAAATAATTTATCCAAAGCTTTAGACAGTCCTGGAATCGGGCAATTCAGCAACACATATTGGGGATCTCGTGGAATCCTCACCCCAGTAACCCTAAATATTAGGGCATAAAGCCGGTTCCAAAAAGTCTCAATCTAGGGCATTCCCACCATATGTGATACATCGTGCCCGGGTGAGCACATCCCTGGAAACAATGAGGAGAAATACACTGAGTGGCCAGATTATTATGACCACCCCATCAGTACTTCGTTGGGCCTCCTCGTGACTCCACGAGATGTTAAAAGGTGATGCAAGGAATCTGACACTGCACTGTTGCCTTTCTGTTGTCTTTTACCAGTCTTGCCACTCTCCGTTCTGCCCTAACATTGACTAGTCGCTGACGGCCACAATTTGCACGTTCAGACCCAGATTTTCGGCTGACATTCCAGTCTTTAAACACTTTAACAACAGCTGCTCTTGAACATTTAACGAATTCTGCTGTTTTGCTGATACTCGCTCCATGGCTTGAGCGCCAACAATCATCCCACGTTCAAAGGCTGTTAAATCGCGTTGTTTACCCATATCTTCAGAAAAAAATCACTTCTACTGTCGTGGTAAACAACCTGCTTCCCTATTTATAATGGTCTGGCCCTCTAGCAACTTCAGCGCCAAATTATAGCTAATTTGCCTACAAACGTCAGGTGGTCATAATAATCAGACCACTCAGTGTATAACCGTTCAAATCTGGTCAGACCATGCCCCAATATTTTTTACAATTACACCCCCGAATACCCGAAAACCGCGAGCTATGTGGAGATTAAATGAAACCTTAATACAAGAGGTAGTTATAAAAAAAAAAGCTGTTACGCAGTCCATTATGAACTTTATGATAGATCATCAACATGACACCACTATTCTTCCAATAAAATGGGAGGCATTGAAGGGAGTCATTCGAGGGGTGTTGGTGTCTTATGGGTGTGCGTAAAAAGGGAGAAAGATAAATTCATTAGAGCTCTGTTGGAGGAGATGCATCTATTAGAATGTGGACATAAAAGTAAAGCTGATATAGATGTTTTTCAAAAATTATTACAAAAGAGAGTAGAATTACTTTAGGCAGTGGTCTGCTGAACAGGAAAGATCGTTCCTACTGAACAGGAAAGATCGTTTGGACTCTAGTGGGTGGACACAATCTAATAGAACCTTCTTTTCATGTGATGCTTCTGAAACAAGGGAAGTAAACTTACCCCCTTTCTTTTCAAAAAATCACTGCTGGGTTCAATAGAGGATCACTTGGTTAATAAATGTATTTGTGTTGACATCGTGTCATGTTATCCTGGGAAAGGCTTCCCAATTGCAATATACACCTGATGTTTATGTATTCATGATATGTTTTGGGAATTCACATGTTTGAAAGGAGCATTTGGATGTAACTCTTGATCACATTTATTTTTGTAGTCACATTCACTAAGAATAACAGAGTTATGGATGCAAGTGCTTTTATGTAGTTAAACCACTAGATGTAAGTTACAGAGTGGAATCAAGCATTTATAGCACATACGGGTTTCACAGACTGCTGCATGAGATTCATCAATACAGCACTATACTTTATCACCCAAATACAATTGGCAACGCTGTAGCGGTACGATGCTGACACTCACTTTTTATTTGTAGAGTTTGTTAGTTGGTTTACAAAACTAAGACCAACATAATTAGTACTATATTATACACGTGTTTAAAAAGGATCACAACACATTTGTTTTTTTGCTTTTTAAATCCATTTATATAGCGTCATAGATCATTTGGAATTAAAGGAGATTAGTTGTTGATACAACATTAATCCCTTGTACATAAAAAATTTGATCTAAGGAATCAATGTCATAAAGAATGTGTAAAACGAACAATGTATGAATTTGGAGATGAGATAGTGATGATAGACAATGATAGAATTTGGAGGCCACTAGCACGCTCGATCAGAGATAAACAGAGTCGTACATGTATACCAAAAATATGCTACTCTGAACAGGGCATGTTACATTCCTCAGATCAGATAGCAGAGGTTTTCTATAGGTACTATAAGAATTTGTATAACTTCAGGGAGAATAGATCGATACGGGAAGAGAGGGTATAACAAGAGGGGAGAAAAAACTATGTAAACCAGACAGCCCTACCTCGGTTAGATATGGAAATTATAGATTCACTGAATATCCCATTTTCATTGGAGGAGATAACAGGGGCAATACACTCAGTGCCGTTGGGGAAGAGTCCAGGTCCAGATGGATTGACAGGAGCATTTTATAGACAGTTCATAGAGGATTTGGCCCCAATTATGCATAGAATGTTTAATGCAATTGATGATTGTGTATTGTCACGGGAAGTCAGGAAGCTTATATAATGTTAATACATAACTACCAGTAAGATCCTACACAGTGTGCTAGTTATAGACCAATCTCGTTGATAAACGTGGATATGAAGATATATGCTAAAAATCCTGGCCTAATAGCTTCAACCATGCATTGAGTCTGTAATACATCCAAAACAGACAGGATTTGTATTGGGGGGGAGAGAGGCCAGGGAGAATACAGTGAAAACTTTCTCTTATTCAATGGGCGCATGCACGGGGGGGCCTCTCTGTGTCTGTTATCATCGGACACAGAGAGCCTTCGACAGGTTAAACTGGAAATTTATGAAGGCATCTCTAGAACAAATATGAATAACTGGATTCCACATATGGAAGTTTATAATAGGGCAATGACATTAAGTAGAATGGTAGACTGGTTTTCTCCAGGGCGACATAAAGCTTTGTGTAACTATTGATCAATCGGAGGTCCCAGTGCTCCTGACTTCCATACCGCGGATACCACCCTCCAAAAGGCCCCATAGTTGGACTGAATCTCCAATAATTGCTGCTGTGTTAAACATCTGGGATACAATGGTTAGGAAGTATGAGATATCTTCATATGTGGGTCCACTAACGTACATTATGGGAAATCCAGATCTCCCACAGGGAATGGAGAGTAGAAGGTTTCTGAAGTGGGAGAGCACAACGCCCTCTCCAATGATACAGGCCATTAATGCAGCAGAATTATGTCCCCTATTACTTCCAGCTAATACACCAAGTAAGGGCAGATGGTTAGAATATTTACATTTTTACTTTGCTGCTAAGTCCTATTGTTAGAATTAAGTCACACCCACACACCACCTTCCTGAGCACCATTATGAGCACAGACACTCAAATTGGGTGGATGGACAACACAGATTTACTATGATAAAAAGTAAAGAAAACCAAAGACTGGAAACTCTATTTAATGTTTTTTTTTTTCTAAAGCAAGACATTGTATTCAGAGACTTGACTCCATTTGAGGAAATGACTGAATAAGGCGGTGCATAAACACATGGTTTCCAGATTATATAATATCTCAGTGACCCACCATATTACATTAAGGACTGGGAACGTGAATTAGGAATTTCAGCGACAAGAGGATTGGGATAAAGTGTACTATCTGTGGTTCCTGTTTTTTACCTTTTTTATTAAAAAAAATTGTTGTCTCAGG